CTGACAGACAGAAAGAGCAGAGAGAAGCCAGAGAAAGAGTATCTCAGAAACTGAACAGACTCACTCTACCAGGAAACACACCACTCCTGGGACATATACGCAGACAAAACACACACACTCTCTGGCAGTGCTCCATAGAACTCATCCTTACAACAAACCCAAACACTATAAAATATTAATCCAGGACCTCAGGTTCAGTTCTCAAAACATCTGAAACAATATCAGACTCAAATATAAAAGAGATTATTGAATCCCCAAGTCTCACACTGACAGGTAAAATTCTCAAAACAAAAGACAGGAACCCAGATTATATGAATAATCAGAAAAAGCAAACAATTTTCAGCCTAGTCAACTGGACCAGCAGGAGGGAGGCAGCTAAAACTCCATGCATGCCCTTGAGAACGATTGTGGGAAATATTAAAGGAATGTTTAGGAGTACAGCATATGTGTGGTGCAGGGTAAATATCATAAGGGTCATGAGGAGTTGAGAGCGATTGAGGCCGTTCTGAAAGTAATATCACTGCAGTCTCTGAGCGGCCCATAGGCATCAGATTAATCACATGGTACTCAGAGAGAAGCACATATGCGGCTGGAATCTGTCAGTGGAAAGGTTAATGAATGCAAAAGCAGAGAGGAACATGGGAAAAACACCACCGAAAAGTCATTTCACAACATGCATGCTCCATGTTCCTCCCAGCAGTCAGTATTGGCCTATAAACGTACATACGTTCAATATCATTGACCTTATCTTAAACAGAACTGGCCTCACTGATCTTGCATGGCTTCTTGATGGTACCCTACACTGCACTGCATCAGAGGGAGACTAGATTTATTACTTCCTGTAATCCAACATTAAGAAAATTCATGCTTTGAATTCTCTAAAGCACATTTGTTTGTCCTGCTTCTATCATACTAGCAAAAAAGCAGAGTGAGGATGATTTACACATTACGTTTAACATGATTTTTTACAAAACCGCTGCAATTCAGCTTTGTAAAATAATAACTTCAGGAATGCCCTCACATCCAAAAACAAACAAACAAAAACTGCACTTGTGAGGAGTATTAGATGATGGCACAGACATCCAATTGTAAAAACAAGATAAATGAGCATGCACAATTAAATAAACAATATATTCATATATTACAACAAACAAACCACCTGACATTTAATTAGGGGCGTAAAAAAGAAAAGGCATCAATGTGATGCGTCAATGTCAAAGAAAATGTACTTTTAAAAAAAGCATTGATTAAAATTACTATAATACTCCACTCAAATGTAATATAATGTATTTTTTTAGTTGTAAAAATCCACCAAATCCAAATATTTCTGGAGTAGATGCATTAAAATAGCATACATTTTGTCCCTCCATTACTTTGGTGTGTTCCGCGTACTTCAGGAAATGGAACCATACCAAAGGACATGTGACCAAATTTCACAATTCACCAAGACACTTAGGGAAAAAATATACAGTACACCCCTAATGAAAACTAATAATTGATGAGGAGCAGAGCTAGGCCTCTCTACATGCTTTCAGTCCCTCCAAACACACAAAATGAATCTAAATCAATTCAGACAAACAGGACACAAACAAGCTTTAATAATTCATGAACCGGGATCCAGGTTCATTTTAACCACAGTTTTAAGGAGATCATTATTGTCGCAGATCCGTGCAAAGTCATAGATCCAATTAAAGGGCTGCTTTGCTGATAACAGGCGTGTCAATATCACTACAGTCTACAGGCCTGCACACATGAGAATGAATGTCAATCAATGTCCTTTCAAGTTCATTCAACCGGTTTTTAATCAAGGTCATCTTTTCATAGGTGTGTGAAATGTCTGCTGTCCTGCTGTGCATTACTGTGTTGAAGATGAGAATAAACCTCAGTCCATGTGAATACTGTGCTCTCCTGCCATTTTCGTTTCTGCAATAAATTCATGTGGCTACTCACCTGCCCCCCGCCCCCCTCTGTCAGACACCTTTAAAAGCTGATTAATTCCCCCCTCCGCTAGGTATGCCTCAGGAGGAAAGCCTCATCAATCTTTCTCTGCCTTGACAGCGTTCAACTGTGCCACGCTTTCCCGTGTTACAGGACTGAATGGACAGAGTCCTATTGATAACTCAATCATCATCGCTGGCCCATGTGAATGGAGACACTTGCCCCCATGAGGAAAGACTGTGGAATTCACCGGCTGATCGGCAATCCCCTGGCTGAGATCTGCAGAGCCAGGTTCAATGACAGTCCCTGAAGTCAAGAGAAAACACTCCGGATGACACACTTGTCAGCCCTGTACACTTCTTTGCTTTCAATGCTGTAATAGGCTACAGCTGAGAGGGATTCCTCTCGAATCAGCCAGTCTTGAACCCTTTACAAGATCTGTCCATCAGACCACTTCTACATTTCCTGGACTGCAAGATACCATATGTGTGCAAAGTGTTTACTGTAGATTCATTAACAGCAGAGGCAATTTAGTAAAATGCCCAGGCGTTTTGAAGTAAAGCATGGAATTTGAGGACGACTTCCAGATGATTTCATGCATGTGCGCGGTGTGTATGAGGAAATTATTTGTGCAGATAAACAACAAACTACTCAAGCGTCCGTTCCCTCGTGCTGATGGAGTCTGGGGTCTGTTGCTAAACTACAGTACTTCATCTCGGCCATAAAATGCTGTGTTTACCTGAATCCCACAGAGAGACATATCTCATGCTGTAACTCATCTCATTCTTTGATCTAGACTTGTGTACTACTAAGAGAAGGCCAGAGAGATCATACAGAAAAAGAGAAAGAGACTGATAGAGGGAGAGACAGATAGTGAGAAGAAACATAATCATCTAATGAGATCTTGATCTCCCCAGAACGACAGTCCAGAGATGAAGAGAAATATGACATTATGTGACCACTATACAAATAATACAAAAGGCATCAGAGGAAATAAGTTGAATATATAATTCAATATAAAATATAAAGAGCATAATCATCAGGCTTAAAAGAACAAGTCAGGACCACAGCAAAACATGCCACATCCAAATAGGAAAAACATCAACATTGGTATATTTTCAGCTTAAGCGTTTTTGCTAAATCTCAAATAGTTTAAAATAACAATGCATCACATCTGAGCAGAGTTAATATGTTGCTCCAACCCATAGCAAACACTTCAGTGATACAAGAATCAGACAAGCATGTTCAGAGCAGTGTTGGCAGTTTTGATGATATGGTGAAAAATTGTTGTGCAAAGGTTAGTTAATGGGATAGTTAACTGAAAAATATAACATCTGACATCATTTATTTGCCCTCATGTTGTTCCAAACCCGTTTGAATTCCTTTCTTTTTTACATCAAATGTAAAAAGTGACCCTGTGCAAATGAGATGTTTAGTATATTGTTCATGCTGTTCTTTTCCATTCAATGACAGTGAATGAGGAGCTGTCAATGACATTTGATATCTACAATAGAAGGGAAAATGATGACTTAAAATAAAAATATAGTGCACAAGTCACATGGACCACTGATTTTTTTTTGTTTTTTTTGTCACCATTCACTTTCATTGAATGGAAAAGAGCAATGTAAACATCCTGCCTAACATCTTCTTTTGTGGTCTACGGAAGACAGAAAATTATTTAGAATTACATGAGGGTGAGTAAAATATTTTTTAACATACAGAGCTTTGTCTGCCATTGCGTGAACCACTGAGAGCAATTGTCTGTGTATGCATTTGTCTTACGCGTGTGATTTTGTGTCAGGGTATGGATTTAATAACATCCCACCCATTTTGCAATCTGTAAACTTGTACATTCTCCATTAATGCTCCCTCCGGAGCCAGCCCATCCCACAGAACAAGAGGCATGAAAAATTCAGCCAGCGTGCCCAATCCCTGCTGCAATTATGTATGAGCAGAATGGCTGGCTGAACAGAGCAAAACCCAATGCATATACTTTACATTCTATTCCCATTCCTCTGACTGCCAGGCTGGATCTGTGCATGCTCCGCTCAGACGTTCACACTGTCTACAGAGCACTACATGACAGGCAATCAGAAGCCCTCCAGCTCCTCCCTGATAGTGCTCGCTGTGATAATGCCTTAGCATCACACAACTGAACAAATCCGCAGCAAAATTCAGACAGGGCAGAGGGCAAAGAGGAAAATTTGCCTCTGTAAGTCTAACATATATGTGCATGTCATGTACTGGTAACGGTATATAACGAATGGAAGAAAGAAATCACTAAAGACTTTGTGCCTTCGAAAATAAAACTGAACATATAAATAACTTAAAAATCCCAAAAGGCGTAACAATACATTCACAACTGGGGGTTAATAAACATAATAATTCAAGAATTAAATGAGGATGCACAATATAACTATTATTGGCCAATATTAGATATTAGATTTTTTTTTGTATTTGATTGTACATGTATTTGATTCTACATGTTAATTTCCTCTACTTTTACATTTAGAATGCCTTTGCCATCATCTAATGCCGAGTTAAAGCAGCACTATGTAACTTTTTCTGTGTTCAAAATTTGCAAAATGTATATAATGAGCGAGTACATCATGAATTCATCTTCCAAACCGCGTTTTTGTCTTATTCCGAAACATTATGGTACACTTATAATAAGTACTTATATTTGGACTATTGTAGCCTGGTCGGGTCGTCACCGCTGCGGAGTAACACATACCTGCGTGAATCGCCATAGATATAAACTTAGAGAAGTAGCTCCGGTTGGAATGTTCTTCCGCGGGATGTGTGCAGTTCTGTTCATTAACCGCTAGAGCGCCAAAATTTACATAGTGCTGCTTTAAGGTTAATCTTTAAAAACGCTAATCATTTAATTAACACTGTTAAGTGTAATCTTTAGCAAATCTCAAAATGAATATCCATTCTTCATACTGTAAATAAATTAAAAAATTTTCATTTTTAGTTTTTAGCAGTTTAATAATTTATTCAGACAAACTAATACACAAAAACACTACATGCTTATTAGTATACTATTATTCGTTTCTTACCACCAAAGAAAGTGGTCTTTTCCATGACACCACTCCGATCAGTCCAGACAAAAGCACCTGAAACAAAAAGAAAACAGGTTTTTGAGACTAAAGAACGGAGCAGCACGTTCAACGCCAACACTGTCAAGTGAAATCACTTCTCAAGCATTAAAGGAAGTGAGCTCCATCACAGGTGACTTTATCAATATTTCATGTGCAGGGAATGATATGGTCATCGTGATGGCAGGGAGGAGAATTCTGTGGATATGAAGATGTTGAAAAAAAATAACGATAACATGAACTATTTTATATCCTCCGCAGTTCTTGTTCTTTCTTTCTGTTCTGTCTTTTTCTCCTTCACCCGTCATTAACCAGCAGCACTCCACTCAGTCTCTCTCTCTCATGCTCCTTCACCCTTTAACCTCTCAAGTCCAGCAGGCCTCTCTCCCTCATTCACACTTTTTACCCATGGGACCTCGGTGTTGCGCTACAATCACAGTGCCATCTCACATAAACCAACAGGAGCAGAGCATTAAATCCAATTTGGGAATGAAACGTTAGCAATGAAGCTGATGCTCTCAGCAGTTTATAATGTAAAATCAGAGGTGTAAAGTATTGGAGTAAATGTAATTAGTTACTGTACTTGAGTATCTTTTTGGATACTTTGTAGTTGTACTGAGTATCAAAGGTATTAGCAACTTTTACTCTCTACTTCACTACATTATTGAATGAGTATCTGTACTCTTTACTCCACTACATTTGAAATGAGTGTTGCAGTTACACATTACATTTTGCATGGACCTAGCTTTTTCTGCAGCAGTTTATTTCTGCTACAAAAGACGTGATACTGCCTATTACAGGTCA